CGCGCCAGCGGGACAGCACCTGCACTGGAGCCCAGGGGACCCTGATGCGTGCCGGGAACTCGGCGGCGCACCGACGCGCCCGCCCTCACCTGCGCTAGGTGGGGCCCCAGTGCCAGTTCGAAAGTACATTAACGTGCACCTGTAGCGGGGACATCGTGAACCCCACAGTACGCTCTCTTCCATTCACACCTTCGAGTGACCTTTTTAAAGAAACAATTCTCTCCACATCCGAGATAATATTTCAGAGGGAACTGCTCAAGTACTGGAGAAGAGTGCGTGAGGAAAATTTACGGTCTCGGCCTACCAGCAGCGGGTACTCTTATTTCTGGACGCTTTTTATTTACATCGAGGTTAGTCTGCGACAGTTTGTACATTCCTTTACTTAACCACCAAAGGGGTTACATAATCAGATGGAAACCATTTTATTCCGACTTACTTTTATTTACATCGAGGTTAATCTGCCAGTTTGTACATGCCTTTATTTAACCACCAGAGAGGTTACATAATTGGACGGAAACCACCTCCCTCATCAATAATGGTCTCTAAACTACAGCACCTATTTATGACTTAATGGAGTTACAAATTTCTTTATGTCACTACAGATGATGTGACACTTTAGACTTGACACAAAGTTAAATCTCAACAAATTATATAAAGCATAAACTTGCATTAATAATGATCACTTTTTCCCTTCCTAGTTTCCTGATTTCTCCCACCTATAAAACATTGGGTTCAATATGAAGAATAAGAGAGCACCTTAGGCTAGAGGTGGAATATTGTTACATTTTTTTTTTTAAGATTTATCTGAGCAAGAGCGAGAGCTTACGGGTGGGGGGAGGGGTAGTGGGAGAGGGAGCCCCATGGAGGACCTGACCTGAAGGCAGATGCTTAACCCACTGAGCCACCCAGGTGCCCCTACTGTTACATTTAATATGGATATTTATGGCATGAAATACAAAGAAACCCACTAAAAATTTAACCAACTCACATCTCTTCAAGTCATTGAGTTCTCATTTAAATCATGGTCATTAGTATTGATGGCAATGGCAATTGCTATTTCTATAGCACTGCCTCCCTTCAAAATTGAAAGGTAAGCATGAATTTGCTGAAGTAAATTAGCCATAATTTATGGCAACAACTATATGTACAACCGTATTTAAAATTACTGAATATATGGGGCGCCTGGGTGGCTCAGTTGTTAAGCTTCTGCCTTCAGCTCAAGTCACGGTCCCAGGGTCCTGGGATCGAGCCTGACATCGGGCTCCCTGCTTGGACGGGAAGCCTGCTTCTCCCTCTCCCACTCCCCCTGCTTGTGTGTCTCTGTCAAATAAATAAAATCTTTAAAAAAAAAAAAAATCACTTAATATATGAAAGATTCCTAAGACAACTGTGTTCCAGGGCACTGTATTGACTACACTGAGTAGGACAGCTGCAAAAAAAATGTAACGTCCATATTAAGATTATATGGGCAAATTATAAATCAGCCACAATTTATTCAAAAGGTCCACATGATACTTAGGAAGGCAAGAGGAGCTAATTTTCCTTTTCAATGTGAAACTAGAAATATAAATCAAGAAATTATTATTATAGCTATTACAGATAGATGTCTCAAGAACAAGTTTATATCCACAAGCTAGTTAGAAAGCTGCTAAGACTTTTAATTGCATAGCCCTGTCTTTTGTTGGCTCAAATCTTCAGCAAGTGGGTAAAATAACAGTTTTCATAATAGTACTAAAAGGTCAAGGACCCCAAGCATTAAACCTCAGTCTTAGCCAAAGTTAAGCAGACACTTAAAACATGTATACAGATGACTCTTGAACATGGGTTTGAACTGCATGGGTCTGCTCATATATGAAAATTTTTTTTGGTAAGTGAGGTAAGGTAGATGTACATTTTCTTTTCTGTAACTTTATTGTGAGAATTCAGTATATGATACATGTAATATAGAAAATGTGTTAACTGTTTCTGTTACCAGTTAACAGTAGACTGTTAGTTAAATTTTGAGGGGAGTTAAAAGTTACAGGAGGATTTTCAATTCGGAAAGAGGTGGGTTGGTGCCCCTACTACCCCGCCTCCCCAACACGGGTCATTGTTTGAGTTAGCTGTATTTGGTATCTGAATTAGAAGCCATTCTGCAAATTTTACCCTCTTACCAGCTTATTTAGTTCTTCACACCTTTATAATTAAGTTCTGCTACATTAAGTCCAGCTAAATCAGATCATTCAAAAAATCCTGCCATATTTCAGAAAGATGAATGTAATAAATGAAAAATGCAATCTCAGATCATAGCTTGTTATATAACATAGTCTATACATATATAATGCCTCTGCACCAAATACGCTTATAACTGTTACTATGTGTTGTTGGATTTTCTGGAGCAGTGGCCCCATCCAATTACAGCAAGTAACTGAGCAATCAGTAGTTTCCTCTAGCAACTTTTAGCAGTTGCTACCAAAAAACTACTATTAGATTGTCAGTGGAGAGAATGATAAATTGTTTATTTTTGTCATTAAACAGCAGTAAGATTTCCTCCTCAAATACCCCCTTTTTAAAAAACAGCACAGAGGGCGCCTGGGTGGCTCAGTTGGTTAAGCGACTACCTTCGGCTCAGGTCATGATCCTGGAGTCCCGGGATCGAGTCCCGCATCGGGCTCCCTGCTCAGCAGGGAGTCTGCTTCTCCCTCTGACCCTCCCCCCTCTCATGCTCTCTCTATCTCATTCTCTCTCTCAAATAAATAAATAAAATCTTTAAAAAAATAAATAAAAAATAAATAAAAAACAGCACAGAGTTAGGAATTGAGAAGAGGAAATGAGGGAGCAAGTGGTGGTAAACACACAAATGATGCCTACCTCTCCCTACAGGTTTGAGAAATAGGCCAGGTTTAGCTGTCATCTCTGAAAACAGGTAAGGAAATTTTTTTTTTTTTAAGGATTTTATTTATTTATTTGAGAGAGAGAGCATGAGAGGGGAGAGGGGAGAGGGTCAGAGGGAGAAGCAAACTCCCCACTGAGCAGGGAGCCCGATGTGGGACTCGATCCTGCGACTCCAGGATCACAGCCTGAGCTGAAGGCAGTTGCTTAACCAACTGAGCCACCCAGGCGCCCAGGGTAAGGAAATTTTAATCAGTGTGTTCATATACATTTTAAAACCATCCTGAATTACTGTAATAAAATTTCACCTGCCAGGTGTTTTTAAAAGCTAATCAGGGGCGCCTGGGTGGCTCAGATGGTTAAGCGTCTGCCTTCGGCTCAGGTCATGATCTCAGGGTCCTGGGATCAAGTCCCGCATCGGGTTCCCTGCTCAGTGCAGAGCCTGCTTCTCCCTCTCCCTCTGCCACTCCCTCTGCTTGTGCTCTTCTGTCTCTCTCTCTGTCAAATAAATTAAAAAAAAAAAAACTAATCAGAAAACTCATTAAAACCAGTATTATGTTAACACTGATCGGGTTTTGTAAGAAAAATAGGCAAAAAAATTAAGCAAGACTCAAAATCCTAATATATACTACTGCAATACAATGTAAGTGATGATCTAAGAACGACAGAATTTTTTTTTTTAAGATTTTATTTATTTGACAGAGAGACTGCGAGAGAGGGAACACTAGCAGGGGGAGCGGGAGAGGGAGAAGCAGGCTTCCTGCAGAGCAGGGAGCCCGATGCGGAGCTCGATCCCAGGACCCTGGGATCATGACCAGAGCCGAAGGCAGACACTTAACGACTGAGCCACCCAGGCGCCCCAGAATATGTTTTGATAATGTATAACAGTATGCCTATAGTTGTAATAATCTAAAATTAATTTTCTATTTCTAAAATAGTACATAAAAATTGATAATCGGTGCATATCCTTAATACATGTCTTTGTTTTTTTCACCCAGTATTTGAAGTTTCCCCACTTCTAATTTTTCTTCTAATAAAAAAAAAAATGTCAAAGTAAGGCATTTTTATAAAAGTCAATAGGTCAGGAGGGCCCTAGGATAGAAGAGAGGCATTTTCATTGTGTTACCTTTCTATGCCACTTACGAAATTACTGTTATTGTTTACCTTCTCAGGTAAAAAGCAAAAACTAAATTTTAAAGATATTCTTAAAAATAATCATGTTTTTGGGCGCCTGGGTGGCTCAGTTGGTTAAGCGACTGCCTTCGGCTCAGGTCATGATCCCGGAGTCCCGGGATCGAGTCCCGCCTCGGGCTCCCTGCTCGGCGGGGAGCCTGCTTCTCCCTCTGACCCTCCCCCCTCTCATGTGCTTGCTCTCTCTCATTCTCTCTCTCTCAAATAAATAAATAAAATCTTTAAAAAAAAAAAAATCATGTTTTTAAGCATCATAATTACTACTAGTGACTGGTTAGTCTGCCAGAAGAACAAGGCCAAACAGTGACTTTGAGAAATCCTGAAACGATTGATTTAGATTTATCCCTGCATTAAAGCTATTAATTTTTTTTCAACTTGCAAAACTAATGCACCATAGCTAGTTTCTTGAATGTATATAATACACAGGTTTATCCTTTGTTCGAAGTTGAAATATGCATTCAACTGAAGAATGTATTTTGCATATCGACTGTTCTTTCCAACTCAGATTGTACTTCCAGTCTCTTTGCCCAGTTTCTATATACTTGCAGTATACAATAACCAAGTGCCTTCCTTTTATAAAAATGATAAACAATACTTCTAGAGACTACTTTATCCTCCTTACACCTCTGCTTGAGGTGTCACTTACCAGTTGGAAATGTAGTTAACAATTATGTGCTGTAAATCTAAAAATGTTTAAAGGGAAGACTAACATAAACAAGGTCTATAGAAAGATCATGTTAAGACTTGGCTTTAAAGATGGAAAAGCAAAATATATGTGAAATTTGACACAGTTTTTACTTCACAATAATCTAATATTATTGATAAAAGTGACCTGGCAGTTGAAAATGGATGACATTGGAGTGACTGTTAACTACATTATGAAATAATGCCTTCATAGTTAGCCAGAGATAGCAAAAGACTAAAATGGTACTCCGAAGTTTCAACATGACATTTATATAGCAAGTTGCTAGGTATACACCATGAAATGAACAAATAATATAAAAAGTTTATGTAGACAGGAGATTCATTTTTATTTCTCCAGTGACAATATTCACAGTTGAATGTAAATTAAAGTCCTGCTTGGACACCAAAGCCAGGTCCTTTGGGTGGTTCAGTCAAAGAGGTAAGACCTCCAGCTGGCTCACAAGAGAAGCGTCCACTCCTGAAAAGAGCAAGTAACATTAAACTATTAATGATTACCATTTATAAATCTGTACTTAAAAAAATAGTTGTTACTTCATAACAGCCCAGTTAAGTAACTATTTTTCATCCAAGAGTTGCATGGATTATTTAATTCAAATATTTCAACTGCTGCAAGATTTTCAAAAGTTAAATACGAAAACAGACATACCAAAACTCACCATAAATATGAAAAATATAAAAGTAACACTACTAGTTCCATGTACTGAGCAGTATACATATATTATTAGCTCATTTACTCTTTACAACAATGCCATGAGTCAAGTAATACTGGCCTTATTTTACAGATACAGAAACGAAGGCTTAGGGGATTCACCATCTGTCCAAGGATCAGAGCTAAGAACTGTAAGAAAATAACACAGGCCCAGGAACATTTTTAAAAATCATGCTTTAGGGGCGCCTGGGTGGGTCAGTCGGTTAAGCATCTGACTCGTGATTTCGGCTCAGGTCATGATCTCAGGGTTGTGGGATGGAGCCCTGCATTGGGCTCAGCGTGAAGTCCGCTTGAGATTCTCTCCCTCTCTCTAAAATAAATAAATAGGGGCGCCTGGGTGGCTCAGTCGGTTAAGCGGCTGCCTTTGGCTCAGGTCATGATCCCAGGGTCCTGGGATCAAGCCCCGCATCGGGCTTCTTGCTTAGCAGAGAGCCTGCTTCTCCCTCTGCCTGCTGCTCCCCCTGCTTGTGCACTCTCTCTCTCTCTGTCAAATAAATAAAATCTTAAAAAAAATAAAAATTAAAAAATAAAATAAATCTTTTTTAAAAATCATGTTTTAATAAACTAGAGCATTACATTTATTCTTTTTGTATTTCAATTTTATTTAGGCTGAGATCCACAATCACAGTGAACAGAAGAAAATACAGACTTATACATTATATTCGGAAATAAACAGGAATTAAAGGAAATGGGAATTTGAAGACTTAGGAGGGGTGTTCCTTAGAGGCCCTGAAAACAAAGTATATTGGTATTCATATTTTTAAAAGCATTATTAGTAGTATTAATTTTTCAAAAACAGGTTCCAGACCAGAGTAGCTACCAACAGCCACAAAGAAAACAGGAACAGGTCCTTCGGTAGGAATCTATGAAGAGAGGTAAGCAGAGAGGTAGAAGAACCTGTCTTTTGTTCACCCCCACACATACTTTCCCAGGTAATCACTCACCTCTGCCCCTGTCTGACCTCTTTTGCTAGAGCCCAGGCTCACACCCACTCCTATTTCGCCCTATTTCCTGGCTTTGTTAATTTACCTGTTCCTGCCACAGATTTCAGCTGAAGAATTGTTCAATTTACATCTTTTTACTCCTTGCTTTGCCCTTCACATTCTGTCATCAATCTTACAAGATTCTTTTTAGAGCCCCAGGAAATCATTTTTTGTTCAGGGGACAGGACAGGGATACCACATAATCATTTTAAGATCTTTCAAGCTATTACACAATGCAAGTAACTAAGTAGTGTATTGTAATGAAGAGTGCCTACAAAGTCAGAAATTAATTAATATATTTGCATTATAGGTTCACTACGAAACCCAGATCAAAAAACAGTTACTGTGAACTATCTGTCTGAATCTAAAATTACATAATGTAGGGTAAGTGGCAAAATGGTATCTAAACTTAATAAAAAACAGTATTTCGCTTTGTAATTTTTTTATGTTAACTAATAACACAGGTATACTTGCTTTTTGACTGCTAATAAAATTATTTTGGAGGACCTTTCTTCCCCTTTAGTAGGTTCCCTCTATGGTTTAAGCTCAACTACCTTCTTTACCAACACCAAGGATTCACTTAGGAAGATTATAAAAACTGAGGTTTTGAGAACAATAAATGGGAGAAATCACACACACTGCCTGAAACTCTTCAAGGAATTGTGGACTTTTGTATAAGAAAGTAATTTCAAGAGTAATCTGGTCTATTTTCCTAAAGTTTGTTCCATGCAATTACAGTCCCATGACCTACACTTCGGCGAGGGGGTTTCAATGGCCTTTTATGTCTGCCTGCAAACTTTCTCCTTCCCTCACCCTTCACAAAATGCACATTAAAATGCTATAAAGGCTGTAAAGTCCGCAGATTGTGTTTCATCTATAAATCTTATAACTTTCCCCTCATTTTATCTGTAAATAAGCATCAGACACCAGAGGCAGTGATCTAGCCCTTCCATTCACAATTTACACTAGGGTTTTCACTTCATAAAAAACAAAAAATGATTCGCCTCAAGTGTTATGCTTAAAATGCCATCTATTAATTACCTTGTTCTTATTATAACTCAAAAGGTAAATCTGGTTTTTTAGCCATTCCAACACTACTTGTACATTCATCATTTTAACTCATTTGCATTCTAGAAAACTTGGCCTTTCTGTACATTATTGGCTTAGAAGTACTTTTTAAAGAAAAGCTACTTTATGAAAGATTAGTGCTTATCTTTTTAATACTGCTAAGATACACCCACCACTGCCCTCTACTTTTAGTATAAAAAAACAAAAGTGACTTTACAGTCTAGAGTTATCCATAAGCAACCACCTATATTTTCTTTACACATATTATCTGTATTCCATAGAATTCTGCAAAAAGGTATCTTTATAAAACTAAATATGAAGAATTCAAACTGGACTTAAAATTAGTTTTAGTTAACCATACTAAAAAAAACTTCTACCTTTTAATTAGTAATTTCAAAGCAGGTTAAGTAATTTCAGGTTAAGTAATTTCAAAGCAGGTTAAGAAGTTATTTTTGGTACTTAAAAGAAAATGAAAATAACAATCTCAGCACAAATATTTAATGTCAAAATAAAGCACTGCCTTACCATCAGTTTAATACTTCCTTTCTACCCATCATTTACCAAAAACATAAAAAAACAGTTCTGAACCACACAGAGACATGAATCTTTTCCTGATTTTGGCCAGGGTAGACCTGGTAATCGTACTCAGAAATCAGGTACTGCTGAACCAGTTTAATTTCTCCGGTTATTCAAGGACTCACAATGAGCACCTCTTTTACATATGTGAGCAAAGTGCTTTATTATATAAATGGTAATAAAAAAAGAATTAGCCAGCTTTGGTTAACTTAAAGTATAACTATAATAATATTTTGCAGTATAACTATAATTATATTTTGGTTACTACTATCATTGCAGTCTCTTTCATTACACTATATATCCAAAAAACTTGAAGGAGAGGAAAAGTTTTTGTCTTCTGATGCTGGGAAGACATTCTAGAACTACCATGTCCAAATACAGTCTCTACAGACACCACTTGTCTGTACTTACTGAAAAGTAAGTAGATTTATCTTTTTATTTTTTTAAAGATTTATTTATTTTAGAGGGATAGCATGGTGGGGGGAAGGGGCAGAGGGAGAGAGAATCCTCAAGCAGTCTCGCCACTGAGTGCAGAGCCTGACTTGGGGCGCCATCCCAGGACCCTGAGATCATGACCTGCACTGAAACCAAGTGTAGGATGCCCCTCAACTGACTGAGCCACCCAGGTGCCCCTATCTCTGTTTTTTAAATAAGAGGGGCTACAAAGGAAATAAAAATAGGTTCAGAAACCAATAATTCTAAAGTTTTTCGCTCAAATCTAGAAAACTCAAAAAAATCCCAGTGAAGAACTATTTACAAGTACTGACAAGCAACATATCTATTTAAAAATGCTTAACTGTGGTACTTAGTTAACTGTTTTATTAATGTTAAAATACAATGATGTTATAGTATCCTATGTTAAGAACACCAACAAACTAACTTCACCCCCAGTAATCTCATCCAGCCTTACGGCTTTAAATACCATCTATAATAATTGATGAATCCCCAATTCGTATTTCCAGTCCTAATTTACTTCCTAAATTCCAGGTTCAAATATACCTTTCAGCATTCTACCATGGATGTCAAGGAGGCATCACAACTTTAACCTGTCCCAAAGTGACTTTTCTTCTCCAAACTTGCTGTACCCCAAATTTCCTTTTTTAGTTAAAGGAACCATTGAGGTGCTCAGACCAAAAAGCTAGAAATCACTCATAATTCCTCTGCCCCACAACATGCACTAAATTTTAAACTATTCTCCACACAGTAACTAGCACAATAATTTTAACAAGATTACACATCATTTCCTGCTTTTTGAAAAACTCCTACAACAGCTTTTATTATATTTAGCATTCAAATCAAATTACGTATCTGGGCCCCTATCTACTTCTTGAGAGAGTACACAGAACTGCTATTTATTACCAAGAGCAGGAAAACATATTTAAAACAGGAATAAAGGGCACATTATAGTTCTTTTAATACACTGAAATACTATATGGCCATTAAACCCTACACATATATTGAGAGAAGGAAAATTATATGGCATAAACAAAAAAACATAAAGGGCTTACAACTACATAAAACTACAAACACTTGCTAGTATTAGAAAAAAATTCTGAGGAATATAAGCACTTAGAAATGGAATAGGGGTTTGTTTAGCAGCAAAAGTTCAGTTTCATAACTGAAAGAAAAGTAATTAGTATAACACAACTGCAGGATGGGAGCAACCTGGATGAACAGTGTTGGAAGTTAAAAAAGATCTAAGCATTCTAACTGACTATAAGTGCAATTATTGTTGAAATGTACCTGAAGTGAGAGCTGATGTAATTAGGCTGCATTATTATAAGCATATGTCTAGAACAGAGAAGATAGTCCCACAATGCTCTGCACCGCTCAGTACATATTTCAAATACTGTGATTAGTGGAAGTATCAAAAAAGTCAGCCAGAAAAGCTACAGAAGAGGGAAACCAAAACTATGTCATAATAAAGAAAAAAATGGAACAACGGTAGACATTAATTCTGAGAAAAAGATTTGGGGAAGAGAAGACACCTATTTTAAGTAAAGGAAGAGCTATCATTTAGAAGAGTTATAAAAGTTATCTTGTGCCAGTTCAAAGGGCAGAACTGGACATGTAGGTGGAAATTAGAGGGAGACAAACTTTGGGTCAATCTTCTGACAGACAGTATGACCTTTAAACAGTAGAACAGATTTTTATTTGTAGTAAATTCCCCTTCTCTATAAATATTCAAGTAGATACCAGATGATTATCTGAGAGGATTTTAGAGGGAAAAAAATAGTTGCTTTAGGTGACAGGTTGCTTTCAATACTATCCAAAAATCCTGACAACTCCTGACAACTCCAAAGCTCCAACAACTTACAGGATAATTTTTTTTTTTTTTTTTTTTTGAGAGAGGGAGAGGGGGATGCTTAGGGGTTGAGGGAAAGGGTGAGAGAGAATTTTAACTCCACACTGGAATGGAGGGCTTGATCTCACAACCCTGAGATCATGACCTGAGCTGAAATCAATGCTTAATTTACTGAGCCACCCAGATGCCCCTTAAGGGATAAAATTTTAATTTTTTTTTTTTAAATTTTTTAAAAAGATTTTATTTGACAGAGAAACAGAGAGAGCACAAGCAGGGGGAGCTGCAGGCAGAGGGAGAGGGAGAAGCAGGCTCCCCACTGAGCAGGTAGTCCGATGGGGGACTCAATCCCAGGACCCTGGGATCATGACCTGAGCTGAAGGCAGACACTTAACTGACTGAGCCACCCACACGCCCCTAGGGATAAAATTTTTTAAATTAAGTTTACATTAGGTTAAGCCATTAAAATTTATTGTGTAGAAATAAAAGCATACCTTGGCCCAGGTTTTGGAATTTTGCCAGCTTTGAGCTCATCAATAATTTCTTCAATATCCTTAGGTGTCAGATCCTCCTAGAATAAAAAATTAAAATAGTCATATTAAAATTACTTCCTACTACTGAAATCTGTATAAATCCCTAATATCAATTAGTTTATTGTTTTCCTTTCTCAGCTCCCAAGTTAGTCACCAAGGTAGCATTAACTGATTAACTCCTATATATAGTATATACTGTTAAATGTAGTATGCAAGAAGAGCTGTGGCTGAAGAGGCAATACAGAGTAGTACTTTCAAGTGAAAGAGTTCTGCATTTGAGTCCTGACTCCAACATTTAACAGCTAGTAATCTTAAATAAGTTATTCAGCCTCCTTAAGTTTGTTTATTCACTTGTAAACGTACTTCAAGAATGTTTTTGAGGATTCAGTGAGAAAATACATAAAACAGAACAGTGCCATGACACATGCTCAACAAATGCTATGTCCTTGAAGAACAGTGAGGTACAAATAGCAATTAGCACCAGCAGTCATAATAACGTAAAAGTAGATGCTAACATCTCTAAAGATAAAATACTCTCATGATATCTTCTTTCTTTCCCATGTAAAATTCACCGTTTACAAATTCACTTAATCTTTGAACAGAAAGGTAAAAGAAATTGTTTTTGGAACGTATCTTAATGACCCTGACCCTCCAGTCCCCATTTCAATGAGAGCAGCTCTATATTTTATACACTATGTACCTGTGTAAAATTTCTACCTCAAGAAACGGTTCTGATATTTAAAATAATACATACAGTTGAAACACACAGATACACATGCCCATGTGCCTAGCTGCACCCTAAGTTTAATCAAAGAGAGTCAAAATAGAATGGGTATGATTAAACTAAGAAAAATGCCTAAACCATACTCCTACTCCCTCTCTAAAACTGTTAAGTACTTAAGAAAATATTTTATAGGACTCTGATACTATGCTAGAGAAATCGTGATTCAGCACTGCATCTCCAGTGCCTCACCACATAGAAGTTCTTTAATATTTGTTCAATGCTTAAACATTTATAAAAATAAAACACTGCTTTCAAACTGCTTAGGGTTCAACAAATGTTCAGAACCTCATAGCTAAAAGGAATCTTTAAGTCATCTAATGATTTTATCTCCCCCAACTTTTTATTATGAAAATTTAAAAACTATACATGAATACCCATATTCCTACCACCTGTATTCAACAACCCAGGATGCTGCAGTATACCAGCACAGACAGAAACAGAGATAGTTGGCCTGAAGAGTTCACTGAAGAACAGTCTGCGATCTTTCCGCTCTGAGGCAGAGGGTTGGAAACGGTCTCTCGTGCTCTGACTCTTGGAAGAGACTCGGATAGCTGCCAGAGAACAAAAGCCCCAAAAAACCGGTTTCCACTGAGTCTATCCCCAGCCACAGGGAGCAGGGCAACTCTGCCCAAACAGGGTTGCCTGAGTAACAGTGTGGCAGGCCCCTCCCCCAGAAGACAGGCTGGGAAAACAAGAGACCAGCAATCCTAAATTCCCTAGAAAACAGGTGCATCTTGCTTGGGTTGTGGTCAATAATTTGGACTCTATACATTCCCTCAACCACCCCTCAACAGAATGACTAGGAGGAGGAACCCCCCAAATAGGAAAAACTCAGAGACTATGACTTATGCCACAGATTTACAAATAGATTCAGATATAACCAAGATGTTGGAGATGGAATTCAGGCTAGCAATTGTGAAGACGAAAGCTAGGATGGAGAAATCGATTAATGGCAACATAGAGTCTCTAAGGGCAAGAAATGAAAACTGAATTGGCAGAACTTAAAAATGCTATCAATGAGATCCAATCTAATCTAGATCCTCTAACAGCTAGGGTAAGCGAGACAGAAGAACAAATTAGTGATTTAGAAGAACAATTAATAGACAAGAAAGGAAAAGAGGAGGCCAGGGAAAAACAACTCAGAATCCATGAAAACAGAATCAGAGAAATAAGTGACAACATGAAGCATTCCAATGTCAGAATAATTGGAATCCCTGAAGGGATGAAGAAAGCGAGGACCAGAAGATGTATTTGAGCAAATCGTTATCTGAGAACTTCCCTAATCCAGGGAATGAAACAAAATTCGTTCCTAGAGGCAGAGAGGACCCCTCCCAAGATCAAGGAAAACAGGCCCACACCCCCGAATGTAACAGTAAAACTTGCAAATCTTAGAACCAAGGAAACTATCTTAAGGGCAGTTAGGGGGAAGAGATCCCTTACGTACAGAGGGAGGAACATCAAAATAACATCAGACCTATCCACAGAGACCTGGCAAGCCAGAAAGGGCTGCAAGACATATTCAGGGTACTAGATGAGAAGAACATGCAGCCAAGAATACTTTTTCCGGCAAGGCTGTCATTTAGAATGGATGGAGATGCAGAGCTTCCACGACCGGCAGAAACTGAAAGAATATGTGACCACTAAGCTGGTCCTGCAAGAAATATTAAGGGGGGTTCTATAAAAGGAGAAAGACCCCAAGAGTGATCTACAACAGAAACTTAGAGGGACAATCTGTAAAAACAAGGTCTTCACAGGCAACATGATGACAATTAATTCATATCTTTCAATAATCACTCTCAACGTGAATGGCCTAAATGCTCCCATAAACGGCACAGGCTTGCAGACTGGATAAAAAGTACCCATCCATATGCTGTCTACAACAGACTCATTTTGAACCTAAAGATACATCCAGACTGAAAGTGAAGGGATGGAGATCCATCTTCCATGCCAACAGACCTCAAAAGAAAGCTGGGATAGCAATTCTTATATCAGACAAATAAGATTTTAAACTAAAGACTGTAGTAAATATCTATGCCCCCAACATGGGAGCAGCCATCTACATAAGCCAACTGTTAACCAAAATAAAGAATCATATTGATAACAATACGTTAATTGTAGGAGACCTCAATACTCCACTCTCAGCAACGGACAGATCATCTAAGCAGAAAATCAACAAAGAAACAAGAGCTTTGAATGACACAGTGGACCAGATGGACCTCATAGATACATACAGAACATTCCACCCTAAAACAACAGAATATTCATTCTTCTCGAGCACACACAGAACTTTCTCCAGAACAGACCACATACTGGGTCACAAATCAGGTCTCAACCAATACCAAAAGACTGAGATTATTCCCTGCATATTCTCACACCACAATGCTCTAAAACTGGAACTCAATCACAAGAAAAAATTTGGCAGAAATTCAAACACTTGGAAGCTAAAGACCACTCTGCTCAAGAATGTTTGGGTCAACCAGGAAATCAAAGAACTTAAACAATTCATGGAAATCAATGAGAACGAAAACACATCGGTCCATAACCTATGGGATACTGCAAAGGCAGTCCTAAGGGGGAAATACATAGCCACCCAAGCCTCACTCAAAAAAATAGAGAAATCCCGAATTCACCGACTAACTACACCTTAAAGAACTAGAGAAAAAGCAACAAATGATGCCTAAGCCATGCATTAGAAGAGAAATAATTAAGATTACAGCACAGATCAATGAATTAGGAACCAGAAACACAGTAGATCAGATCAACAAAACTAGAAGCTGGTTCTTTGAAAGAATTAATAAGATCGATAAACCACTGGCCAGACTTATCCAAAAGAAAAGAGAAAGAACCCAAATTAACAACATTATGAATGAAAGGGGAGAGATCACAACTAACATCAAGGAAATAGAAACAATTATTAGAAATTATCATCAACAACTATATGCCAATAAATTGAGCAACCTGGAAGAAATGGATGCCTTCCTGGAAACCTATAAACTCCCAAGACTGAAACAGGAAGAAACTGACAACCTGAACAGGCCAATAACCAGTAACAAGATTGAAGCAGTGATCAAAAACCTCCCAAAAAAATGAGAGAGCAGGGCCTGATGGATTCCCTGGAGAATTCTACCAAACATTCAAAGAAGAAATAATACCTATTCTCCTGAAGCTGTTTCAAAAAATAGAAACAGAAGGAAAGCTTCCAGACTCATTCTATGAGGCCAGCATTACCTTAATCCCCAAACCAGCCAAAGACCCCATAAAAAAGGAGAATTTCAGACCGATATCCCTGATGAATATGGATCCAAAATCCTCAACAAAATCCTAGCTAATAGGATCGAACACTACATTAAAAGGATCATCCACTACGACCAAGTGGGATTTATCCCCGAGATGCAAGGGTGGTTCAACATTCGCAAATCAATCAATGTGTTCTTAATAAGAGGAGAGAGAAGAACCATATGGTCCTCTCAACTGATGCAGAAAAAGCATTTGACAAAAATACAACATCCTTTCCTGATTAAAACTCTTCAGAGCACAGGGATAGAGGAAACATTTCTCAATTTCATAAACTCCATCTACGAAAAACCCACAGCAAATATTATCCTCAATGAGGAAAAGCTGCGAGCCTTTCCCTTAAGATCAGGAACGTGACAAGGATGCCCACTCTCACCACTATTGTTCAACATAGTACTAGAAGTCCTAGCAACAGCAATCAAACAAAAAGAAATAAAAGGTATTCAAATTGGCAAAGAAGAAGTCAAATGCTCTCTCTTCGCAGATGACATGATGCTTTATGCGGAAAATCCCAAAAGACTCCACCCCCAAATTACTAGAACTCATATAGCAATTCAGTAATGTGGAAGGATACAAAATCAATGCACAGAAATCGGTTGCTTTCTTATACACTAACAATGCCACTGTAGAAAGAAAAATTAGAGAAACGATTCCACTTACATTAGCACCAAAAACCGTAAGATACCTAGGAATAAACCTCACCAAAGAGGTAAAGGAACTACAGAGCACTCATGAAAGAAATTGAAGAAGACATGAAAAGATGGAGAAACATTCCATGCTCATGGATCAGAAGAATAAACATTGTTAAAATGTCTATGCTACCCAGAGCAATCTATACCTTCAATGCCATCCCGATCAAAATTCCAATGACATTTTTCAGAGTGCTGGAACCAACAATCCTAAAATTTGTATGGCATCTGAAAAGACCCTAAATCGCCAAGGAAATGTTGAAAAACAAAGCTGGGGGCATACGTTGCCTGATTTCAAGCTATATTACAAAGCAGTGATCACCAAGACAGCATGGTACTGGTACAAAAACAGACATACAGACCAATGGAACAGAATAGAGAGCCCTAATATGGACCCTCAACTCTATAGTCAAATAATCTTTGACAAAGCAGGAAAAAATATACAATGGAAAAAAAGACAGTCTCTTCAATAAATGGTGCTGGGGAAATTGGACAGCTATATACAGAAGAATGAAACTCGACCATTCTCTAACACCATACACAAAGATAAACTCAAAATGAATGAAAGACCTCAATATGAGACAGGAATCCATCAAAATCCTAAGGCAGTAACCACTTTGACATCAGCCACAGCAACTTCTTTGAAGATATATCTCCAAAGGCTAGTGAAACAAAAGCAAAAATGGAAGTTTTGGGACTTCATCAAGATAAAAAGCTTCTGCACAGGAAAGGAAACAGTCAAGAAAACAAAGAGGCAGTGCACAGAATGGGAGAAGATATTGCAAGTGACACTACAGATAAAGGGCTGGTATCCAAGATCTATAAAGAACTTCTCAAATTCAACACCCAAAAAACAAATGATCAAGTCAAAAAGTGGGCAGAAGATATGAAAAGACACTTCTCTGAAGAAGACATACAAATGGCTAACAGACACATGAAAAAATGTTCATCATCATTAGCCATCAGGGAATCAAAACCACACTGAGATACCACCTTACACCAGTTAAAACGGCCAAAATGGACAAGGCAAGAAACAACAAATGCTGGAGAGGTTGTGGAGAAAGGGGAACCCTCTTACACTGTTGGTGGGAATGCAAATTGGTACGGCCACTTTGGAAAACAGTGTGGAGGTTCCTCAAAAAATTAAAAATAGAGCTACCCTATGACCCAGCAATTGCACTCCTGGGTATTTACCCCAAAGACACAGATGTAGTGAAAAGAAGGGCCATATGCACCCCAATGTTCATAGCAGCTACGTCCACAATAGCCAAACTGTGGAAAGAGCCGAGATGCCCTTCAACAGATGAATAGATAAAGAAGATATGGTCCGTATATACAATGGAATATTACTCAGCCATCAGAAAGGATGAATACCCAAAGGTTATTCCCTCAGGAGTAAACTAGATATTAAACTGTTCCTCAAAAAGAACTGCTAGTCTAGAACCTTACACATTGGAGCAACAGGGGAGGGTATAAGGAGAGGAGCTTTCTTTTGGAACAGTAGTATTTACAGGAGAAAGAAAGAAGTAAAGCAAATACCTTCTTGAATCCACACTCAGTGCAGGAATCAATTTCTACTAATAAATTTCTAAGAAGTATGAACTAATAATATTATGTATGAAAACCATTATATATAATTAGGGTAGCAAGAAATCTTTTAAAAAGATAACTAGAAAATTCCACACACTTGGGAGACTAAGACTTCTAAAAAACACAGGCCAAAGGAGAAATCAAAATGCGTATTTTAGGGGTGCCTGCGTGGCTCAGTCAGTTAAGCGTCTGCCTTTGGCTCAGGTCATGATCCCAGGGTGCTGGGATTGAGCCCCACGTTGGGCTCCCTGCTCAGCAGGGAGCCTGCTTCTCCCTTTCCCTTTGCGCCTCCTCCCCCAATGCATGCTCGTTCTCTCTCTCAAATAAGAAAATCTTTTAAAAATGCATATTTAAAAATATTTAGAACTAAATGATAAAAATAATACTTATCAAAACTTGTGACATCCAGCTATAAAGCAGTACTTACAGGAATGATACCATCTCTAAAATTCTTAAAACAAGCAATATATTAGTATGGCTGGATACATATACCCAAAGAGTTTAAAAACATGGACAGGAAGAATACACACTAAATTTATGACAGTGGTTATTTCTGGAAATTAAAGGAATAGGATTTTGGGGGCGTAGGGGTGGTTTACCTGCATCTGTAGCTTATTTCTATTCTACAAATAATAATAATGATGATAAAAACAATAATACCTAGTAACAGTAAGTAGGGTAAAGTATCTGTTAAATCTTGGTGGTTATTTTCTGTATTTCTATGTGAATTATTTTTCATAATTTAGAAGCTTTTAAAATATGTCATTATCTCCTAGAGTTAAATGCAAAATGTTTAAAGATAATTTTTAAAAACCTTCTGGTGGACAACAATGTGGAAGCTAAACTTGACATATTTTTATGCAAAGCTTTTCAATTTTTGTTTTTTAATAAACTTTGGAAAACAGAAAAAAAAAAAACCTGGATATTTATGCAGTTTCTTCTAAATGAATAATTCAGAAACTTGTATCTACAGGAAAGGAAACCAAATATTTAAAATATTTTAAATATTTAAAATATTTTAAATATGAGATCATACAACTTTAATTTATATTAAATACTCACATAGTAGTTGTCATTTATTTGAACCATTGGTGCATTTACACAGGCCCCTAAACATTCCACCTCTATAAGAGTGAAAAGTTTATCAGGTGTAGTCTCCCCAACCTTTATTCCTAAAAATATAAATAATCACTGTAAGGACCAGGTTATATTTTAATAGCAACGTGGCTTCAGAAAACTACAACAAATTACAGAGGTATACAAAAGTATTGAAGAACATTAATTTTCTTAAAACAACTCTGTATAATTATACTAGAACGTTCAAGGTTTTCTTAAATGGACTTATTCCTTTAAAAACAGTAAGATTTCAGGGGACTCATCTCCAGCGTTTGCTGTTACAGAGCAGTGTATTAGAATATAGTATTTTCATTTTGATTGTGATAGTTAACGTACTATTATCAGCCACACTACCAGATTGGCAAAGACTCAGAAAACTGCTAATGTCAAAGATCATTAAGACTACAAAGAAAACATACTCTCCTATCTTCAGGGAAGACATTTTGGCAAAATATAGTAAAATGTGACTCAACAATTCTACTCTTGTAAACAACCTCGGTATATAATAGGACAATCATGCAAAGATATGTATGCGTGAAAGTAACTGCATAATAACTTATAACAGAAAAACAAGGCAGACATACATATGCTACAGCCAAAATAAAGTGCAAAAAGCAAATAGACATATTTGTGTTTTTAATAATGAAAATAAGCAAAACAACATAAAATCTAAAACTAATTATACCCAACTATTAGAATTTATTTCTGAGGGTCAAATTTTGAGCAGACTCCAGCTTTCTGTTTTATATACTTCAATACAGCCCAACTATTTTTACAACATGCAAATACTTTATATTCGGTAGCAACAAGATTAAAGTATACCTCCTTTTACTTCATTTGATATGTAGAGCTATAAATGCAGCAATGGCAGTTTTATATGGAAAAATGTTCTTATAATTTTATAAATGCCACTCTAATAACATTTCAAATTTCCCTTTCTGAAGCATTCTTACTATTCTCATATCTTCTTTGTTCCAAGACTCATTTGGAAGACTACAAGGACAATACAATCACTTTTTTATGTACCACATACTATTATTACACAATGAGTGAAATTTAATTTCTAAACAATGAAAACTTTAAAACCCCTAGAAGCTTTTCAAACATACTTAATGATTATGGGAAAAAAGAGGTGAAAATTCAGCTTTGAGGCTGAGAACTAAGGAAAAATACAAAATAAGAACAAATAAAGGTGGACAACCACAGTAAGACAAAAATTTACTGAAGTACAGATCAGATCCAATAAGATGGCAAACACTGGAAAACTCAGGTAGAAATGGGTCAAATCTAGAAAGACAATCCTATTTTTCATAAAAGTTATAAATACAATGTGTCCCATACCAAGCTTTTTCTGAATGGCCTCCAGTATGCTGTCAGAGTTTCGAAGCATGCAAGGTGTGGTAGTGCAGACCTGAATGTGATACTTTCCAACTGGCTTTCGATTATACATTGTATAAAAAGTTGCTACTTCATATACTCTCATTGGAGGTACTTGTAAAACTTCTGCAACCTAAAATATTAGGAAATTTTTAAATAATTATAATATTTATTAACTGAGAATTAGGCATGTTGTAAAGAGCATAATTTCAATTTGGTAAAAATGTAAAACTTATTCATAAGCAGAAAATATACTTGTACTTGGTATTTGGGAGGTATAAGTCCTTCTACACTTAAATGCACAGAGCCCAGAAGCTAACGGTTACAGCACCTCCTCCACTTTACCCCATGCCCCGTCTCTGCAAAAATGATCTTTTTCTCTAAATCTTTGAGTCTTTCACTGTTCAGAATTTCTACTTTGATCATTTCAACACTCATATTTTATAATTTAAAATTTCTAAATAGCAAAAATTTGGTGACCACGCCCCAATAAATTAAACACTTGTATGTTTTCAACCCTTCACCAATTTTTCAAAAAGCCTTGATGTTCCTAGTGATGTACACTGCATGCAAATGGTATGGCAACCCAAAAAAGGGGCGAGACTCAAAACTCACCTATTAGTCAGTATTGATTTACAAATCTACACACTTTATATACACACAAACCACACACACAACACGTACATAACTCTCCAGAACAATTCAAAACACTACTTCTATTTCAAATCGCAACACTCTACAAAAATCGTATGGACTAGTACTTCCCAACCCTTCCAATCAAGGTATTTATAGCTTTTGACACAGTGGTGTTCAGGACCAAGGGAATCATTATCTGAGTATAACTCTCTTGATCAGGGCAAGTCTATTAAGGAAAACAAGGTTGTTTTAGCTGTTTGCTAGGGATAGTCCACATATAGTCTATCATGACTATCATCCTGGCTACAACGTTCCAGGTGACCTAACATCATTAATCTATCCGGTTGTAAGATTTGATTCTTAAAAATTATGCATATTTCCATGTTTTGACATGAAAGATGAGTTTGTTAAATGGCATTTCAGATGACAAATATGTTGAGCTTTCCTCATATTAGGGATTCTAAAGGATATGTATTCTCAAAAGACATCTAATCATGGCTCACTTGTGAAAGATAAGTATGCTAAATTTAATTTGGTGATACTAAACCAGGCATGTACCTCTGAATCTGGGAGCTCTCAAAACACACATGCTAGAGCTCTACCACTAATGCCTAACTTGAAAAAGCTCCCTTGGGGATGCTGCTCTATCTCCCTGCACCTTAGTGATGGTTAAGGTACTAATGTGTGAGCTTCTGGATATTGTTTTGGTTGTAAGGTTGGGTTTTCCTTTGGGGAGAGGGGGGAGCCAAAGAAACAGTAACATTAAAGTCTCAAATATAAAAATGGAATCTTGATTCTATTCTCTGTACACTATTTCCTGCCTCTCACACGTATATATTCAATTCTAAATAGAACAGGACAATATTTATGAAACATTTTCACCTTGCTTGTCATTTATTTTATTTCATTCTGTTAAGCTTGCCATTCAGCAAGACTTCCAACACATTTGCCATTATTAAAGATTGAATTTTGGGGACGCGTGGCTTGCTCATTCAATAGAGCGTGCAACTCTTGATCTCAGGGTTTTAAGTTCAAGCCCCCGTTGGGTGCAGAGATTATTTAAAAAAAAATAAAAATCAGGGCGCCTTGGTTGCTCAGTAGTTGAGCACCTGCCTTCGGCTCAGGTCATGATCCCAGGGTCCTGGGATCAAGCCCCGCATTGGGCTCCCTGCTCAGCGGGAAGCCTTCTTCTCCCTCTCCCTCTCCCCCTGCTTGTGTTCCCTCTCTCGCTGTGTCTCTGTCAAATAAATAAAATCTTAAAATGAATAAATAAATAAATAAAATAAAATCTTTAAAAACGTCAATTTTTGCAGAAAAGAAAAGAGCATACCTAAATCGTTATTTAGAAAGTTTGCTATTATAATACAAAAAACAATGTTAAGTAATTTAGAAAACACCCAAAGAGCTATGTGATTTACTGGGGGAAAAAAAAAACACCTGACTATATTTTACTAAGTATAGTACCAATGAAACTTGCTTTGTAACATTTTTCAGTCAAAAATAATTAAAATAATAATAAAATAATAATGGTCCATAACCATGTTAGAGTACTATACAAAGCAAATTAAGAGATATGAACAAAATCTAAAATCTGCCTATGGCATTCCATTAGATCAACTGAAGACATTCCTATTCTTTAAGAAAGATGATAATGGTCTAGCCTAATAGACCAAATAAAATTTAGAAAGTGAAAAAGAGAAATGAAGTATAGCAGAATCTCTGCAATAGTCAAGTAGCAAATGCACTGAATTGGAAATGGTCCAGTCCCAACTCTATCACTTAGGAATCATAACATAATTTGTAGAGATCTACCCTAGTTCAAAATCTTCACTGCAGATGACGAAGTAAGTCCACAGAAAAACCAGATCTCTTAGCTCAAATGTATTTTCCATTATATCACACTGGCTTCTTATTTGTGTGATTCTCATAAGAATCGTATGATTTTGTACGGCACTTCATAACTATACCCTGCAATATAATACCACAAAAATATAGTTATATTAATATAATATATATCATCAATAATACAACTATATTAATATATGAATAAATGTGAAATGTGGATTACTGTTGAAACCACAATTAGAAAAAATGAGTCTTAAAAATGTATGAATAGACCAACCTTTAAATGGGTCACCCATACCATTTCTGTATGTTGCTAATTATCAAGTCTAGGGTAGCATCAAATACTATGTATTATATAAATTTTATTAAAGCCTGTAGCCAAAGATGCAAAATAATAAAAAGATTCATATTAGCTGTGAGCAGATCCTTTTCTCCATTATTTTAGTGTCTAAACAGCACATTAATTTTCGGAGTACCTTGACAGCAAATTATACACATGTGGAATCTTTTATCTTTACTATGGCCATTTCTCTCAAACAGGGAAAAAAGAGAAAACTACTTTCACTATAATGCCTTTACTATTTCCTGCAAGGATAAAAAGCTCTACCTTTTCAGTTCTCCACATTATTAAAAGAACCAACAAAAACACACATCTGAGGAAACATAAATGATTAAAAGCTTCAAATTCCTAGATTCTGACATTAGTAACCATCAGAGGAATTTCTACATAAGAAAGAAATTCATACACAGTCTCTCCTCTTTTCAAACTAATGTAAAAATGAATTTGGTACCTTGTTCATAGCAGAGATGGGTAGCCATCCATTCTGTCTCTGGGCTAAATCCAGGACTGGAAGTACAGCTGCTGCTTTATGTCCTTCTGGATAGTTTTTTACAATTGCCTCTATCCTCTGTATCAAAGAAAAAGCACATATTTTGATACATCTGGAAAATATTAAATATTTTGTAAATTAATTATACTGTTAATTTAGTCATACCTTATAGTTTTCTGGTGTGAAATCAAATGGAGTATCTGGGTTATTCTCAGGAGTATCTCTGTGCTATATAAAGGGAAAAAATGTTTTCCAAAATTATCAAAATTCCCTCAAAAGTATGAACAGCTCTGTATATTACTATACTACTACTGATCACTTAATCTCTTCACTTTAATTCTGACATTAATCTATCCTTGCATCAAAAAGAATGGCTAATTATTAAATACACATGACTATGATTAACAAAGTAATGTTAACAGAATTCAAAATTTCAGAAAAGTTTTAGAAATCACTCTTTAATAATTAAGAGAACTAGTTGTAGGACCAAACCCCAAAAAAGTATTATCCAACTTGATTAGAGAACAGGATCTTTTTTTTTTTTAAAGATTTTATTTATTTATTTGACAGAGAGAGAGTCAGTGAGAGAGGGAACACAAGCAAGGGGAGTGTGAGAGGGAGAAGCAGGCTTCCCACGGAGCAGGGAGTCCGATGCGGGGCTGGATCCCAGGACCCCGGGATCACGACCTGAGCCGAAGGCAGACGCTTAACGACTGAGCCACCCAGGCGCCCCGAGAACAGGATCTTCTAATGTAATTACCAAAAAAACTCAATCGCTGGAACACTTATAAAATCAAGACACAAAATTTTGAGTATGCACATAACATGCATTCTTCCAAAGGTGTGTATCAGATTATCAAAAGGACCCACTGTTAGGAAGGTACACAAGCATCACCTCTTCCCCACATAACAAAAACCAGTTAATGGCAAGAAGCTTTATTTCTTTTCTACAAAGAGAACAGGCCCTCTTAAAAACCTGACAAGAAATGGCATGTCAACAGGAAATCAAATGAGTCACACTGAGATTAACACTTACATCAATTAATGTTTAGTATGTTTGGTGAACACAGAACTGAATCCCTCAATATGTTAACTCTTAAAGTTCTGCTTTTTCAAAGATATAAAAGAGGAAAAGAAAATGGAAACTTTGGACAATGATTTCAAATATGTGGCAAATTTAATACTTTTAGACAAACATGAAAAAATATAAAGCAGCAATCTACTCAATAGATGGCTAACTCATTTATTAAGATTCAGCCTGGAAATAATTCAGTTAACAAAACTGTACCACTAACTCTAAATCATCCTACAAAGCTACTAAATTGCCTTTAAACAACACAAGATTGATCCCTGTAAACTGTGCCTTATCACAGAAAGGAGATACATTATCTTATCTCTGAATTGTACAACTAAGCTGGTGAGTTCATGGACATCTACCTGTAGTTAAACCCTGGAAACCAAAAATATAAAGGAACTACTACTAATGTATTCACTGTATTACTAAAATCCATGAGTTTTAAACTAGTACCGTTTTGGGATTCCCCAAGTTGCAGCCACAGAATCTTTAGTCAGCCAGTATGACTGATTTTTAAGAACCCAAAGTGAGACTATTTAGAAGATAGTCCCTGCCATCACTTTAGCTGAGATTTGTTTTTAATCAAAGAATCAGTTGAGGGCTCACAGTAATTTCACCAAAAAAATAATGTCAATTCAGAGCTACCCTGGTGTCAACTTAAACTCAAGAGGTTCAACTGGAATCACACATCTTTTGAAATTTAATGAATTTAATTAGCTATATTTCAATCACCACAATGGCTAGCATATACCAAAGACATTGGGGTTTAAGATATCTTGGATTGTTACAGTAGTTTTACCCAAATTTCCAAGTCTTTACATTCTGAAGAAATTGGAGTACTTACCACAAATAAGGCTCCTCCAGCTCCATTTTGCACAGCTGTCTTATGTAAATTCCTTATATGTCTCCCCTAAAATTTTAAGAAAATTTAGTAAATCATAAGCCTTAAGAAATTTTTCATGAGTAAATACCTTAAGATCCATAATTTAAAACAACAGACTCAACTTATGTAAGTAAAAGATCTTAGGAGATATGGCTCACTGTGCTACACCCTGCCCATCTCTATTTCAGGAGAGGTATAAAGAAATGGAAATCCAAGGTAAGGTTATTAACCTGCCTAAGATAACACGAGTCCACGGAAGAACCAGGTCCACAACCTATTATCTCCTAAGTCATGTACCCTTTCTATTACACTCTTGTCAGCATGCATTAGGAGAGTTGATATTCCATTAATTTATGGCCTTTCACTTTTTTCTGAATCAAGCTGGATGCCAGCTTTCATTTAATGTGGGCTTTCATAAACATATTTTCATTCTGTACAAATGAATCATATACTCTTCCACAAATGAGTCAAGTATAGCCCCCTTTTCAATTCTTTATGAATTAGTTTAGAAACTCCAGTCATAAAGTTTCAGAAAGCTGCTTGTGATGCTATGCAGTGACCATAGTCAGTTGTTTTAGAAGGAATTCATTTGATTATTTGCCGTTGCATTTTATTTCTCTTTGTCCTGTTGCTTCCCCCCCCCAACACACTTACCACCCTCCCTGCCACCACCAAAAGCAATTCAATCACTATTCAGAAACCCTCTGATTTCTGAGTTCTACTAATCACACAATGGTAGAATACTGGATTATGAATTAAATACAAGATTATACTGGTACCCCTGATGCCTGTCCAGAACCTAGACTGAGATAAACATAAAACTAAGGCCATAGTTCCCAAATAATACTGTTAAAAAAAACAAACAACACCAGCATAAAGCTTTGAAAAATTAACTGAAACTAAAATTTAGAAGATAGTCCCTGCCATCACTTTAGCTGAGATTTGTTTTTAATCAAAGAACAATTTTTACTGAGTAACATTAGTGAATTACTTAACTAAATTCTGAGAAGAAACAAAAGACTTCATAATAAAGTAAAGAAGAATGGATTTAAGAGAAGAGAAAGCATCCAGTCTCCTCTTTTCCTAACTTCTGAACCCTAACATTTTGTTTACTTTACTGACTCTTTACCCACCCCCTCAGGGGAGGTTGTCCTCAGGGCTCAGCTCTGTCCTAGGTTCTTTTCTCCACAGATTTTTTTGCCCCTTCAAGCTTATTCATTCTCATATGCTTAACTCCATGCTGACGATTCCTGGATCTTATACACATTTGATGACAAAAAATTAACAACCGGAAGAGATCATAAACACATATAAATCAATGAGGAAAATGAATAAATATGAACAAAAATGTCACAATATAACTGCTAATGACCTAACTAGTAATTTAAAACATGCATGTGATCATCAAGACAGCATGGTACTCACACAAAAACAGACACATAGATCAATGGAACAGAAAAGAGAGCCCAGAAATGGACCCTCAACTTTATGGTCAACTAATCTTCGACAAATCAGGAAAGAATATCCAATGGAAAAAAGAACAGTCTCTTCAATAAATGGTGCTGGGAAAATTGGACAGCCACATGCAGAAGAATGAAACGGGACCATTCTTACATGATACACAAGGATAAACTCAAAATGGATGAAAGACCTAAATGTGAGACAGGAATCCATCAAAATCCTAGAGAACACAGACAGTAACCTCTTTGATCTTGGCTGCAGCAACTTCTTGCAAGACACGTCTCTGAAGGCAAGGGAAACAAAAGTAAAAATGAACTATTGGGACTTCAAGATAAAAAGCTTCTGCATGGCAAAGGATAGTTAACAAAACTAAAAGGCAACCTACAGAATGGGAGAAGATATTTGCAAATGACATAACAGATAAAGGGCTGGTATCCAAGATCTATAAAGAACTCATCAAACTCGGGGCACCTGGATGGCTCAGATGGTTAAGAGTCTGCCTTCGGCTCAGGTCATGATCCCAGGGTCCTGGGATCGAGCCCTGCATCAGGCTCCCTGCTCAGCGGGGGGCCTGCTTCTCCCCTTCCCTCTGCTTCTCCCCCTGCTCATATTCTCTCTCTCTCTGTATCTCAAATGAATAAATTAAAAAAAAACTTATCAAACTCAACACCCAAAAAACAAATAATCCAGTCAAGAAATTGGAAGAAGATATGAACAGACACTTCTCCAAAGAAGACATACAAATGGCCAACAGACACATGAAAAAATGCTCCACATCACTTGGTATCAGGGAAATACAAATCAAAACCACAAAACCAGTTAGAATGGCTAAAATTAACAAGAAAATTAACAAGACTGGGAACAACAAATGTTGGCGAGGATGTGGAGAAAGGGAAACCCTCTTATACTGTTGGTGGGAATGCCAGCTGGTACAGGCCCTCTGGAAAACATGAAGGTTCCTCAAGAAGTTAAAAATAGAGCTACCCTGGGGCGCCTGGGTAGCTCAGTCAGTTGGGTGTCTGCCTTTGGCTCAGGTCATGGTCCCAGGTCCTGGGATCGAGTCCCATATCGGGCTCCCTGCTTGGCATGAAGCCTGCTACTCCCTCTCCCACTCCCCCTGCTTGTGTTCCCTCTCTCGCTGTCTCTCTCTCTGTCAAATAAATAAATAAAATCTTAAAAAAAAAAACAAACAACTACCCTATGACCCAACAAGTGCAATACTGGGTATCTACCCCAAAGATACAGATGTAGTGAGAAGAAGGGGCACATACACCCCAATGTTCATAGCAGCAATGTCCACAATAGCCAAACTGTGGAAGGAGCCAAGATGTCCTTCAACAGATGAATGGATAAAGATGATGTGGTTTATACATACAATGAAATCTTAGTCAGCCATCAGAAAAGATGAATACCTACCATTTACATTGACATGGATGGACCTGGAGGGGATTATGCTAAGTGAAGAAGTCAAACAGCGAAAGACAATTATCATATGGTTTCACTCATATGTGGAATATAAGGAATAGTACAGAGAATAATGGGGGAAGGGAGGGAAAACTGAATGGGAAGAAATCAGAGAGGGAGACAAACCATGAAAGGCTCTTGACTCTGGGAAACAAACTGAGGGTTGCGGAAAGGGAGGTGAGTGGGGGGTGTGGGGTAACTGGGTGATGGGCATTAAGGAGGGCACGTGATATGATGAGCACTGGGTGTTATACGCAACTAATGAATCACTGAACATTACATCAAAAATTAATGATTTATTATATGTTGGCTAATTGAATTTAAATAAGAAAATAAAAATAAAATAATACAACAGACATGTTTAAATGAGATAACATTTCCAGCTATCAAATTAGTACTGGTTTTTTTTTTTTTAAAGATAACAGTTCTGTTGAGTGAATGGAAGTAGGTATGCTTATACATTAGGTAAAAATTGATACAGCCTTTTAGGAGAGCAAATTGATATGGTGTATGGACAGACTAAAGAAAGCTTCCATCTTTTAATTTATTAATTCTACTTCTAGAATTTTATCCAAAAAACAGTATAAAATGAGGATAAAGGTGTATACAGAAATATATTCTCTGTATTGTTCTGGCAAAACACAAGCAACCAAAAAGCCCAACATAGAAAGGTTTTAACTAAATAATAATTCCAACAAAAATCATACTATGTAGCTGCCAAAAATTGTTATTTTCTAAAAATAATGACACTGAAAGATGTATTTATGCCACAATCACAACTGGAAAATATCAGGGTTAAATAAAACAGAAAAGCATAAACTACCATCCCAATTTATTCAATATAGACACTAATGAAAAGATTGGAAGGCCATAACAATTTAAAGTGCTTATCTCTGTTATTATGATGTTAACAAGATTATAAGGGATTCTTATTTTCATACTGTTTCTTGTATTTTTCTCTATTTTCCATGCTTCTTATGTAGCATGGATTAATTGACAAACAAAAAATCTTATTTAAAACAAAACATTCATCAGGGCGCCTGGTTGGCTCAGTCAGTTAAGCACACAATTCTTAATGCCACCTCAGGTCATGACTCAGGGTCCTGGGATAGAGCCCCGGGTGCAACTCCACACTCAGCGGGGAGTATACTTGAGGATTCTCTTCCTCTGCCCTTCTGTGCACACACACATACAATCTCTCTCTCAAATAAATAAATCTTAAAAAACAATAAAACAAAACATTCATCAAGTACAAAATGAAATTTACCACCTCTACTATTAATCCTATTTACCCTTCCAACTTCCCTATATATTATCAAATTAAACACCACTAATCTCTAAGTTAAAAGAGCTTCAGTTTTGGGTCAATATTTGATCCCTTCCCCATTATTCCAGTATCTGTCACATAACTTTACTTAAAATGAAAAATACGGGAAAAAAGAAAAATACCGAAATAATCTTGAAAATTGGTCTCTGGGGCTAGGTAGCTATATACTGGAAAATCTATTTTGAGGCACTCTCTGGCTGACCTGTAATTCTGGATATGCACATGAGTTTACACACACAGGCACTTCTGTCCAAAATTATGTGTTTTAAAGTCCAAATCACTGAAAACAGACTACTGATTGAAAACAGGAAAAAACAGCTAAACCATAGAAAAAATGCTAGAGTTTCAGATTAAAAAAATTTTTTTTTTACTAACATGTGACTTTACACAAGTCACTTAATTTTTTTAAGACTCAATTTCTGCACCTATAAAACAGGGATGTTTAATTACTGGAGTGCTTTGAGGTTCAAATAATAAAGTTTCTCTGAAAATACTATATAACCTATTAAAGCATTATCACATTTGCTTAGCTAATAGGATAAAACATTTAATAACTGAAAAAGGGAAGATTTAAACAACTGCATTTTAAGAACTAAACAGATTTTAAAATTGCACTTTGTTAGCTGACTCTAACAAAGAGTCACTGTCACATTGTCACAAAGAACAGATTAGTGACAGCTTCCTGAACTTCCACATAATTATTTTTATTCTTTATATCCACATAAGACCATCAGTTTTTCTGGCGAAAGTATATTATAGATGGTTGAAAAATACT